TGTGTTGGGCTCTGTATTTTATTACATTATAGATAAAACATTAGTCTGTTATGCTTCTCTTACAAAAATGTAATGGATTCATAGTTGTTAAATAATTTAGGGCCTATTTGGTAGAGGTTGTTTTTCTAGCTAAATTAATTGAGTTCAGCAAGGAAAACCACGTTTGGTAAAGCTGGTTTAAGCCAAATAAGCCAAAGTCAGATTATTCCAAGTGTCCTGCTGATAAGAAGAAAGCATATGGCTATTATATTATGGCTACCTATGCCAATCCTGAACTTAGAAACTATGCTGGCACTAACCTGTACACTAAATTATTCATAATTCATGATGCTTCCCAATTTATGAAAGTTAAAAAAAACTTCAGAAGGAATATACAACTAGTAATAAAAGGCAGTGTCTTAAAGATATGCCTGCTTTCGTCTTAGAGCATGACAGTATGTGTTTTGAATTCAAAATATTAAAGTTAGTTTGACAAAAGTGGGTTGATAAAAAGGTTTGTATTCAAATGTGATTTGTCAAGTCCATTTAGTAGAGTTGTTGTAATTTGCCTCAAATTTCAATTGGAAAAGTGAAAAGGAACTTAAAGTTGTGTTTGCAAAAGGTCAAAAGCTCTCATAGAAACAGTTTTGCACTTTCTAAACAGTTTGGCTTTCAAGACCCAATAGCCAAAACCCGTAGCCCTATGACATATACTGACTATTATTTGCATCCCTTTTTTGAGTTTTTCATGACTATACACAATGATCTTATTACATATATATATACTTGCTATTCTTTGCATTCTGAAATACAATAATTTCTTTAACAGAACCTAACATAACATTCATTTATTATCTACGAGACTTATATTATGTAGGTATGTAAAGAAATGGATTCACAAGACCCAGAGACCTTCTCATCTTCTCAGTATCAGTACAATTACATGATACCATCTCAACTCTCAAACCAATCACTTCACCCAACTCCACCAGTTCAACCTGCTTATAACTTTAACCAAAGTAATGGAATGTATCCTTATTGTGTGGACCAATATGGATCTAAAATGTCATTCCAAAGTCTCTTGAATTTTCTGATATTAAATACTCCAGTGGCCAATGCTCAATTTGAGAGTTCAACAAAAAGATCAAAAAAGAAAGGTGATGATATCCAAATTATACCTCAAGCTGCAAGTTCCAGAAAAGAATGGACCAAAGAGGAAGATGTAGCATTGACGAATGCATGGTTACACGTATCAATGGATTCAGACATCGGAAACAATCAGAAAAGTACTGCTATGTGGGTGAGAATAGTAGAAGTCTTTAAAGAAAATATGGGAGCTAGATGCAATCCTCTTAGAAACAACAACAGCTTGCAATTGCATTGGGGGAAAATACAAGCAGCGGTGAATAAGTTCTTGGACATTATGAGCGACTAGAGAGGCACAAACATGGATGATTTGGTAAGTGATAAATTTTTAATGATGTTGTTTTATAGAACATTTTCTACTCATGTTTGACAAATGGTCTTAGTATTGAGTATTACCTCAAAATATACTATTAAAAATTTGTTTCATATTTTTGTCTCTTAGATAAAAAAGGCAATGGGATCGTATGAAGATATTCAAGGAAGCCCATTCAAATATCTCCATTGTTGGGAAATAATGAGTAAAAATCCAAAATGGTACTCCGAACATGTGAAGCCAACATCAACAAATAAAAAAACAGTTCACACCTCCAGCTCACCTGTAAGAGAGGATCATGCACCGAGTATTGATGGACAAATTATGGCCTCTGGAGGTACTAACTCAGATGGGCTCATCCGACCCCAAGGAAGAAAGGCTTGTAAGGAAAGAAAAAGAATGTTACATGAGGAAAAAAGTGTGGTGGATGCGTTGAACAAGCTACAAGGTACTCTAGAGAAACAAGTTAACGTGAATATTACAGCTTTGAAGATGAGAAAAGAGAATGACCAAAAGAACTTCAATTGAAACAACAACTCATAAAAGAAGAGGTTGAATTAAAATAGAATGCTGAAAGGAGGAAAGAGCTAGAACATATTATGACTCAAGATCTAAGTAAGCTCTCACCACCTGTTCGAGAAGCATATGAAGTAATGCAAGCAAATATTATAAAAGAATGGAAAAAAGATGGCCTCCTTGGATCTACAAGGTAAATATTAAGTACATATTTTATCTATTGTTATATTGACTTTATATGAATTGTGACTAAACTAATATTGATTTCTTTTTTTCTCATGTCCAGCACTTGACGCTCAAGACTGCACTTCTTTGGACATATCTCTTTTAGAATCTAGCCATTTGTTTGTTGTCAATGATGTTTTCTTTTCAAATGGGATTTGTACTGGTAGACTATTGATATTAATAGGGTTTTAATGACACGGTTTTGAATGACTTTTTCCTTTTTTTTTCTCCTGTCGTCGTATGACTAGTTTGGCTATTTAGTCAGTAGTTGTTTATCTTGAATTGTGATTGTTTAGTATTTTGAAAGAACTTAGGTTGTATGATGTGTTTGGCAGTCAAAAGTGACTTATATGCTTATAAGTAGCTCTTAACGTTTTTTCTTAAATACCTCTCCGTTCATTATTGATATTTTCTCAAACAATCTGATGTACTACCTAAATGGATCTAGATCCCACTTTGAATAATACTACTAAAGTCTCTAATAGCAACATTTGATCCAACTTTCTGTGAGTGAAAACTGGACTGCTAAAGTCCCTAATAGCAACATTGGATCCAACTTTCTTGAGTTCCACATTAACAGGTTTACATGTGCCACTCGGAATTGATATTTTTTTGTATCTATATGGAACATCTTAATGATAAAAAGAATACAAAGCTAGAAATCTCATTGCATAAAGTTAAAGGATATTGCTCCTTCAGTTCCAAAGAAGAAGAATATGTCAGTGGTTTTCCTATAAATAGTTATGTTAAGTCTGAGAGTATAGGTAGTCTCAAGCACCCCAGGAAGACCACCTATGCTTATTTTGGCCTGTTTCCCTATAATATATTTGAGATATTTTATAGAACAAAATGAAATAGGGGAAAATAAATAATATACCCCGAACTTTGCCTTAGTGTGAGCTCCCCACCCCGAACTTGTCCTAGTTTAAAAAATACCCCCAACTTTATTTATTTAAATTTTTTGTACCATATTTTAATTAACGAATAATATTTCTCAAATTATAATATGTTAATTAGATTTAGTTGAAAATAAAAAGATTAATTAACATATTTTTTGTACTTAAATTAGAGATTTTGAAGTTATTTAATCAATTTGAAAAGCACACATTAATTTGGGAATCACACATCTTTTTTTGCCAACTAAATCTAATAAAATATTACAATTTGAGAAATATTATTTGTTTATTAAAATATGGTACAAAAATATTAAATAAATAAAGTTGAGGGTATTTTTTAAACTATGACAAGTATGGGGTGGGGAGCTCACACCAAGGCAAAGTTCGGGATATATTATTTATTTTCCCCAATGAAATAATGTAAAATCTGTTTGACAGATCTCACTTGAATCCCTATTCACCTCAAAAGCAATGACATATCTAGAAATAATATATGAGTAATTAAATTCTAATACAATCTATGCCGAAGAGAAAAACAATGCAAGAAAATATACCTTCTTAATAGTCAAAATTCAATGCACTACACATGAAAAGAACTATAAAATAAATGCTCGAACATAGTATTATTACATAGCAAAGACGTATAAATTTATTGTTTCTAGCTATATGAATAGTTCAAATATAGTAATAAGAGATCAATCAACTTGGTGGCCACCATGTAACTCCCACAAATGATTTATGAGATCATTATTTAGTTCTCGGTGCAATCTTTTATTTTGTATCTCCTTCATTCGAGTATTCATCCTTGAAAAAAGAAAGGTAAAATCATGATCCGGAACAACATTTTCACTTGTATCTTCTCCCTCGGATTGCCAACTTTGAGGATCAATGCCTTGACTGTTCTCACTTTCAAAAATCGTGTTATGTAAAATGATGCATGTTTTCATAATCTTTCCTAAATCCCTTGGATTCCACATACGTGCTGGACCTTTGATAATATGCCACTGACTTTGCAGTACTCCGAATGCTCGTTCTACGTCTTTTCTCACAGACTCTTGATGTCTTGCAAATAATTTTTCCTTAAGAGAAGATGAATTTGAGATAGTTTGGATTAAAGTGGCATATTCTGGATAAATCCCATCTGATAGATAGTATCCCATATTGTAATGATGACCATTCACTACATAATTGCATAGCGGTGCTCTATCATTAACAAGGTCATCAAATAAGGGAGATCTATCTAAAACATTAACATCATTATTTGTACCGGCCATTCCAAAAAATGAATGCCAAATCCACAAATTTTTAGAAGCTACAATTTCCAAAATAAGAGTTGGAACTCTTTTGAAACCGTTAGTATGTGTCCCGTGCCAGGCTGTTGGACAATTTTTCCAATGCCAATGCATACAATCTAAACTACCAAGCATACCTGGAAATCCACGGTCTTCTCCCTCTTTCAAAAGTTTTGCAACATCATCTTTGTCCGGTTTTCGTAAATATTGCTTTTAAAAAATGCCAATTATAGCATCGCAGAATCGTTTCAAGCTCTCAATCGCCGTGCTCTCTCCAATTTGGACATACTCATCAAGAATATCCGCTGCACACCCATACACTAACATACGTATTGAAGCTATGATTTTTTGTAAAGGACTCAACCCGGGTTTTCCGACCGCATCAACCTTTTTGTGTAAAATAATCATCATAGGCCTCAATTGCTCTCAAAATACGTTGGAATAGTTCGATGTCCATCCGAAATCGTCGGCGAAATTTCTCAGGTGTATACTTTGAGTTCTCACCATTGAAATAATCATTGACAATTAGATCATGGCGTTCTTTCCTATCACGATTTATATACCGTCTACCACTTGTTGAACCGCCATGAGCACCTTTGCTACACATTAACATACGAGACAATATCAACGGAACGCGAATTGCACATGTCTCAACTACATCAATGCTCATGTCGGCATAATTATGCATGGGTGGGGCAATATTCTGAAAACACATTACATTAATTAAGTAATTGAACATTGCAAAAAATAATTCTCCACTAAGTGCAGGAAAAAGAAACATTCTGTGAACAACAACAGCAAAAAGGCATCATTTTGTGAACATAGTACAACAACAAAAAGGACACCATTATGTCAGCAAACTACAACAACAAACTGGACAGCAGCACTCCGTTTGCATTGGAACCTTGACCTTTAGCTAGACAATTCTTCCCCTTCTTCACCTTTGCCTCCTATCAAAATAATAAAAATAAGCATCATTTTGGATAATTTCATAAACGTAACATTAATTCAGCTTTTACCATGTTACCTTCTTTTTTTATCCGGATTCTAAGACTCTTTTTTCGCAGCTTCTTTGGGGCCCCTTCTTCACCTTTGCCTCCTATCAAAATAATAAAAATAAGCATCATTTTGGATAATTTCATAAACGTAACATTAATTCAGCTTTTACCATGTTACCTTCTTTTTTTATCCGGATTCTAAGACTCTTTTTTCGCAGCTTCTTTGGGGCACCCTTACGTCTTGTGCATTTTGGATCCTTGATGAGGACACCAAACACTCTATCAACGCTTTGGCACCTTGAATCTGTTTTGTTAGTACCACTGTTTGAGTGCGGTATCAAACTCTTCTGATATGAATTAAGCCACTCAAATGTGACCCTCTCTAGTGATTCATCACCTACCACAATGTGGGCTATTTCTGAAAACTTATGGCACAATTTTTCATATTGTAATTGACCTGGAACAGATACCCATCCATTATAGTTAATCTTCAACCGTGTATAGGGTCTGAAGACATCGTTTCTCCACCTCTTCAAAATATACCTATCTGGGATTGTTGTTGTACCCTCCCGGATTAAAACAGTAACATCATGTCTACACAATATCCCTCTAAACTCAAATAAGTGGCAATGGCAAACAATAGCATTGTTTTCTTTTTCAAGAATTACCTTAAACACTTTCCTGTGCATTGTATCACCTAACACAAGATACTCACGCACCTCATAGAACATTCTTGTAATTATCATCTCAATGAAATCAACTTCACAATAAAGCTTCCCTGTCAATTCTCTCTGGAACTCTTTGAACTTCTTTATGGTATACACATTCTGGAACTGCTTTTCCATTTCAAATTTGTCGCACATGGAACCATTTTTGAAAAAGATTTGAAATCTGCCGTAAATTCTTTCTCTGCCTTATCTCTCAGTGCACGCTCATATTGCTCAACAAATTGCTTTAGAGATGTCTTTGAATGCACATATCCATCAAAAAACGCGTTAATGGTCTCACTCCTTTGTGTTGTGGACATTCCTGCCCAAAACATTGTTTTCAAGTAACAAGGTACCCAACGATGTCTCTCATCATACAATCCACATAACCAGTCGTTTTCACTTAAGTTGTACGGCTCGATCATTCCACTCCAAGTAGTTTCAAATTCTTCTTCACTATACGAGTCATACACCGCATTGTGCAAACATGCACATATTTCATCCTTTTCATCGAAACCTCCAAACTTTTCGGGTAATTTCTTCATTATATGCCACAAACACTACCTATGCCTTGTGTGCGGGAAAACGAGTTGAATAACATTTTGTATGGCACGATCCTGATCAGTTATGATACCCATGGGAGGTTTAGAATCCATGCATTGGAGCCAAGTTTGGAATAACCAAATGAAAGTCTCTGTATCCTCATTGGAGATTAAGCCACATCCAAGCAATATTGATTGTCCATGGTGATTTACACCAACAAAGGGAGCAAATGGAATATCATACTTATTAGTTAAATATGTAGTATCAAATGTCACTTCATCACCAAATTCTTTATACGCTTCTCTACATCTGCTATCAGCCTAAAAGACATTCTTTAATCTAAAATCTTCATCTAGGTCCACAATGAAAAAGAAACCAAGACAACTTGCTTCCATCTTCGCAAAGTATGCTAGTATTGCTGCCGCATCTCCTTCTCTGAGTCTCAATCGTTGAACTTTCTCTACATAGTTATGACAATCCTTTTCAGTAAAAGTCATGGCTGAATAGTCACCAACTTCAACTACTGTGGAATTAAAACTCTTATGTAACGGAATCCCCGCAATGTCATTCACCTCAAGTTTTCTTTTCACGTGTTGATTTAAATGTCGGTTACATCGGTATAATCTAGCTTTTGATGGACTCGTTGTATGATTGTGTTCAAGATGTACTTTAGTGATTTGCCGTGTCCCTAAAAAATCTTCTTTCGCACTCAACCTTTCCTTACAATCTGTTTGAATTGTAGGTTGTGGATTTAACGAACATGTTGTGGCATAACATCGACCACCTTCACGACTACATGCATAGGTCACATATTTCAGTGATCTAGTATCACCTTTCCTTGAAGTTCTTTTCCTAATAGGAAACCCCACTGCAGCAACATAGCTCCTATAAAATTTCCACACTTCCTTAGCACTCTTAAAATCCATTCCTACTTTTGGTACATTGCCCTTCTCAATCATGGTATCTTCACACTCTTCTTCACTTAGGGTAGTTGTGGTCGCAAGTTCACCTGAATCAAATATATGCTCATTCATATATAGAATTGCACATTATTGAAATAAAACATATATTTGAATTATAACACAACAAGTAGCTTTCGGGCTGCTGCTCCATAGTGTCTCTATGTATCTTTTGGTTATTCATGCTCATAGTCCTCTTATGAAATTGAACAACACGTCCTGATGATTCTTATTCATTGTCTTCCTCGTTATCAATTACTAGTATTAAAGTTGTTTAATCTTTTAGTTTTTGAAATATACGTATTTCCAGCCGGGATCGTTCCGGCTTGCGCTTCCAGATTAGCCAAACTGCTACTCAATGAGATGGCGTCGTGGCATTGACGTTTTCTATTCAATTGACGAACCCTAGTCCCTAAGTTGCCACACTTTGCTTCTTTTATTTCCTTTTAAAGTACATTAAATTCTATGTTTAAAAGTATATTTTAATACGGCCACGTCACTGCCAGACTTCTTTTGTAAGTATTTTGGGAAGTTAGTATGTACGTATAGCATTATTGTACTTTTTTATCAATAAAAATATACTCCGCAATCCGTAGGGAAAAACAGTTCCAGATGCATAAATCAAGAATGATGAATGCTAGTAGTAACAACAACCAAACAGCGCCCAGAATCTTTAACCTTTAACAACGACCTTACTTTCAGTTAATTGATGAAAATGGTTTCCGCCTCCATACTTAATTTCAGCCTCCAAATGTTGATCAACCAATTTTTTAGGAGTAGTTGTACCATTTCCTGATTCAACATTTTCAGGAATGTAAAAAAAATAGCAACACAAGTTAATACATATGATGCTTGAAAGCATGGTTTGAAATAGCGGCCCGCTACCGCTATAGCGGTCGCGGTAGGGGCCGCTACCGCTACAGCCTGCTATTTGTGTGTGATTTCCAAATCACGAGAAAAATCCGCTACACCGCCCGCAACAGCCCGCTATTGACATTTCCGGCAGTACATCACGAACTGTTTGATGTGTAAATGTGTAAATGTTGGGTGAATGATGTGAAAATACATTAATGGTGATGCATGGAGTGAAACTCATAATTAAATGTTGTATGAATGATGTGAAAAAATACATTTATATTTTGCGCAATTGAAAATATTTTACGCCGTTGAAACCGCTACAGTCGGCTACAGGCTGCTACCGCGATGACCCAGGGACACATGTATGCCTTCACCAATGAGGCCATGTGCCCCCAATAACCTTTCAAATTTTTATTACATAATGAAGTAACTCTTTATTACAAAATGTGTTGCCCCCAATGAAAAATTTACGTTGCCCGCAATAAAAAACTTATGTTGCCGCCAATAGTTTGTTAGTTATAAAATGATAATATAAGAGCTTCTAGTTGTTTTCTTTATTTAAATTGAATCATATAAATCGATCCAAGCAATCCAAATTTAATTTGTAAGCAAATCATATAAATATAAAATTGAACAAAAATGACCTTAAATTATTTTAAGGAAATTCATAAGAACAATCCCTACTTTTAGGGATTTTATAATAATAATCCCTACTTAGAGTGTTCAAAAAAATAATCCGAACTAACAATAGTGTTCATAAGAATAAATTAGGGTGAGTTTAAATTAATGTCCATGTAATATTCTCAAACCTTACTCTCACTTTTCTCTTCATCATTCTTCTTCTCGGGGCAAATTCAAACTAAAACTCATTTAATCTCAACATCATTTTCGCCATATATATGTGCTTTTCTCTAGGTTAGAGTTAATTGAGACAAGGAGTGACGATGGGAAAATGGAGGTAGGGGTTGAGAGTACTTAATGAGCATTAATTTGAATTCGCTCTAATTTATTCTTATGAACACTATTGCTAGTACGAATTATTTTGATGGAAATCCTCAGTAGAGATTATTATTGTAGAATCCATAAAAGTATAGATTATTGTTGTGAATTTTGTCTTACTTTAATAGACAAAAAGTAAGCATTATTGTTAAATGCACATTATTCTTGTAGATAAATCAATCAACTTTTATATGTAAAAGTAATTTCAAATAAATATTAAAATAAGTATTCTATATCTTGTGACCATGAGGGTAAGCAATCCTAGTCACATAAAAATATTATTTTTATGACTTAGACATATTTTTTGGCACATGCATATCGATTATTTAATATTCAAATCATGAAAATAAAAAATTGTATAGTAAAATTGTTCAAATTCAAGATCGATATATTGAACTGATTTTGATATTAACATTTTCTTAATTAAAACTCTAGAGCTCCAAAATGCATTAACTAATTAGTTTTAATTATATTTCCTACTGTTAATATTTATTATAGACAATCCATTTCTTTAGTTTTTTAGATTTCATGAAGTTATATGTTACAATTAGTTATTCATATTTATTATAAAAATCCATTTCTTTGATATAGTTTAGGTTTCATAAATTTACATTCGACAATTAGTTTATCTATCCAAACTTAATAGCCGGTATATGAGATGAGATATGTATAGACTGCAAAAATATGAATTCTTGCAGTTTTATCATTAGTATATAACCTTGAATTGTAAATAAGCTTATACACACATTGACACACACACACAAGGTTCTAAAAGGCGTTAGGTGCCAGTCGGGCGCCAGCCTAGCGCCTAGGGGGCTAGGCGGGCGCCTAGGCGGGGACTAGTTGGAGACATAGAAGTTATAGTTTTATCAATATTTTTTTACATAAATATAATTAGTAATGTTATGTTTTTATATATAAAAACATATACACACATACACATTAACATGCATGAATGATAGAGTTGTCACATTTAATAATATATCATACCTATTCACTTACCTTCATTATGTAATACTTCGTAAATATTATCAATAATAATAACACTTAAGATTATATATAAACGTGTATACTTTTATCTTAATTAATCTACAACTAGTAACTTTAATTGATTTCTTCATATGTGTTGTTACATATACATTTATCTCTTAGAATACTAAAATAAAAAAGAAAGAGAAAATGTGCGACGAACCTAGATGCCTAGGCGTCCAATTAAGCGCTCTGGGCGGACAACTAGGCGCCCTAGGCAGCCGACTAATTCACCTAGGCGTCAAATCAATTTGTCGGAACGCCTAGAAAAAAATCGGAGCGCCCGACCACCGCCTAGCGCCTAGGCAGGGACTAGTCGGGCGCCTATACCGATTTTTAGAACAGTGTGTGTGTGTGTATATATATATATATATATATATGTATATATATATATATATATATATATATATATATATATATATATATATATATATATATATTGGTTCAGGTGAGAAATGCATCTAGTGTGAGAAATGAGAATGAATCTCAGTCATTGGATTTACGAAGTTGCACTAAAATTGGCTTTATGTTGCAGTAATATTTAAATTTTGCACAAGTTGCACTAAAACTGTTTCATGTTGCACTAATATTTGACGGCGTTGCACCGAAATAGCTTCGTGTTGCACTAGACACATGTAATACGGTTTTTTAAGAAGTATTTACAGAAATGTCACTGTGCTAGATTGCATATTTCTGTGCATCATGAAGTGTCTTTTACTGCAACTTAGTCGAATCCAATGGTTGAGATTCATTCTCATTTCTCACTCAAAGGGTTCTTCTCACTTGAACCTTACCCTATATATATATATGTGTGTGTGTGTGTGTGTATATATATACACACAGGTAAGAGATCAAATACAAACCATGCTTAAAATACTAACCTACAAACTCAATAATATGCAACACTTTGAACTTCAATATGCAGTACAAATAATGTAAAGATGCACACTGTGAATTTCAATATGCATTACAAATAATATGCAGCACTTTGAACTTTAATATGCAGTACAAATAATATGCAACACTTTGAACTTCAATATGCATTACAAATAATGTAAAGATGCACAGTTTGTGACAGTTTGTAGGTTAGCATGGGAAGACTAGTTTGTATGTGATCTCTCCCCTATATATATATATATATATATATATATATATATATATATATATATATATATATATATATATATATAAATGTATATATAAGACTGAATAGTATCTATAAGTTTGAATTGCATGTATTTTATAAGCACACAATTCTTTGTGTTAGTGTACATGCATAAATACACTTATACACACATGGTCTATATTATAGAATTGAAGTTCAAATATGAAAATTCGACCCTTTTAGCATAAAAAGTTCATCTTTTGGTTCTATTAATAAACATTTTTGGCTCCAATAGGTTAGATTATGCCCCCAACAAATATGATTTCTAGATCCGCCACTGCGATGACCGCTACCGCTGTCGCTACGGCTATTTAAAACCTTGCTTAAAAGATCGGGGAAAATGTGTTGGAAAAATGTGTTGAAAATTGCATTAAATGGCCATTTTGGGGCAATTTTTTGAGTGGGGTCCACTTCCGATTTGGGTCGGGTCAAAGTGGTTTCGGATTGTCATTTTTAAGGGCTACAATTCGATATATGGAACGCTCAAAACGGATAACGGGTGAATGAGAAATTGATTCTCGAAGTTCACCCGTTAGAATGAGAAAACTGGGAAAAAGGATGAGTTTCTATTGTGTTATTTCCCACACCGGAAAATCCAAGGGATTTGCAACCCTTTATAAAGGGACTCCCCCCTTATGGAGTTAAGATTCATAAGGGTAAAGACTCTCTGCACGCGCGCAGGGGGGTGCAAATCAAATCCCGAAATCGAAGAACAAAATTCGCGACTTGCTGCCCGGACAGAACACGTCTTCCGCGCAACAGAACTGCCCGTACACGGACAGAAGACTTGGGGGGCTGGGGGTCCTCTGTTGCGGAGCTCGGACATAACCCCTCGAGGTGTTCTGTTCTGGTCGTGCACCAGTTAAATGGACAGTTCATAGTCGATTCAATGCCCAACGGACTTGTCATTGATGTCCAACGTTCAGGTCCATTAATTCACCATTTACACACAACAAATCCTCTTGTATAATGGCTGGCAGGTGGTTTGCAACAACACACGTTCATACACATTCTTCACGTATTTCTGAGCTCTAAAACACCTCCAACATTCCGAAAATTTCCTAAGTGTTCATACATTACTCTTGTTTGTGTGCTCAAACATTACTTCGAAGTCGTCGTATCCTGGGAAACGATTGTTGCAACGCTCATAGCACCGTGGGAAGCAACAAATATGTTTTAAGAACATCGTGTGTAGCACGAGTTTTGGCTAAATTCTGCCCCATCTCCTTTTTTGTTTTTCTTTCGTCATTTTAATTAATTTATTTTAATTAATTTTCTTTATTTTCCGAAACACCCAACAAAATGAAATTTAATACCATTGGATTCTAAGCCAACATGGGTTCTTATAGGTTTTATGGATTCACCTTTCGAAAAAACTTGCGTCGACCTCGGAGATATTTTACAAAAGAATAGTTCTAAAGAGCCTACAAATAGAGGACTTTCATTGTTAAATTCACCCAGCTTAACCTCCTCCAAAAAAACTTTTACTTCATTCACCAAGATTAACTTGAAAATTATCCAAACAACATTATTATATACGCACCTGGGTTCACCCAACTTCTACTAAGCCTAAATTCATTTAACCTCGCCAATTCTATTTCAGTTTACTCTATCCAAACGGAAATTAGAAGCTTAGTTTACTCCTTTTTATCTTCCGAATTTCCAAGGAAAACTAACATTGATTGTTTCCGAATCAAGATGATATTTATTTTCTTTTCCACTGTGGATATTTGTTATACTATACACCGAAATGTATATATTTGTAAACGAAGAGATAAAGTTTATACCTTGAATGAAGAGCAGAGTTGTGGATAAACTGTTACACTCGAAGTGGAGGAGATTGGTCATGGTTGTGCACTGAAGAAGAGATAATGAGCTTGTAATAGATAGGTTGGAAGTGATCTTTGTTTCAGCTCACCTCAGCAGTGGCGATCCCGTAAAAGAAAGTTTACAGAATTAATTGAACCTAAATGAGGGAGATACAATTGCGTACATATAAACGGAAGGAAAGGATTTCGTCCGTCCTTGCTTGCCATATGATTTAAATCAAAAGAAAAAGTACTCCCTAATTTCAAGAATTTATTTGACTGTCTCCCCAATCGAATTTTGAGCTGAAATTTGGTATAGATAAACTAGATTTGATGAGTAACATGATCAAAAATTTTCATCAAAAAAATTCCACCGAGAAGACCCTCAAACGGGGAAGTCCGCACGGGGCTGTCCGGTAAGGCTGCCTGACTCGAACAGCACTTGAAGATGAGGAAAGTGAAGGGATTTTGTGGAGAAGGGATATTGTAGACGGCAGAGAAGACAAATAAAGTGGATAGTTGAGAAGTAAACTGGAGCCGTTGAGTGTAAAGATGACGAAGTTTAAAATTAAAAAGGAAAACTGTCAAATAAGTACTTCTGCTATGTCAAAAAAGTCAATTAAATCTTTCTACAATAAAATCAAGAGTTAATTATCAAAATAGGACTAAAAGTCATTCACTTTGCACAAATAGGACCAAAAAATAAACTATGTTTCCATAGGACTAATTATGTTTGTCTTGGACAAATATACCCTTATACCTATTGGAATGTTTTAATTCATAATAAAATAATAAAAAATAATCAAAATTCGTAAAATATACCAAAAAATTAATAAAAATATTTTGAATAATAATAAATTTAAAAAAAAATTTAAAAAATTAAAAAATAAAAAAAATTAAAAAAAAAATCAAAAAAATATTTTTTTTGTCACCGCCGCCTATACCGCCCCAGCACCACCACCTCTAGTCATTTGGGGAAAAAATGCCAAATTTATTATGAATTCCATATTTTTGGCATAATTCAGAATGATTTAAGATGGAAGAAAAAAAATGTTGGCATTCTCAAAGAGAAATATGCCATATTTTTGGCATTTTCCGAAAAAAAATGGAAGTTTGTAGGAAATATGACATTTTTTTAACGGTCGGAGGTGGTGGCAGGGAGGCGGTACCACCACCTCCTGTCACCGGGGTAAAAAAATACCAAAAAAATTATGAATGCCATATTTTTGGCAAAAGTCAAAAGGATTCAAGTTGGCAGAATGAAAATGTTGGCATTCTCATAGAGAAATATGTCATTTTTGTGGAATTTAAAAAAAAGTGGCATTTTTTACACCGATCGGAGGTGGTGGTTCAGGGAGGTACTACAGGCGGTGGGAAAGGTATCCATATTTTTTATAATTTTTTTTTATGGAATTTTACTATTTTTTATTAATTTTCAAAAAAAAAATTAAAAAAAAAATTTCTTATTTTTTATTTTATAAAAATTTTATTAATTTTTTTATTATTTTTCTACGAATTATTGAAATTTTTTCGAATTTATTATGAATTAAACATTTAATTATGACTTTTAGCTATCTTTTACTAATATTTAAAGGAGGAGTAAGAATGGAAGGAAGAAATGAGTATGTTTCTAATAGGACCACTATGGTCCTATTTTGAAAAAAAAACATAGCAAGTCCTATATTGAGTTTTTGCCATAGTTTTAGTCCTATTTGAAATAATTTCTAATAAAATCAATCAATTGAATCCTCCTACTTACAAAAAATGCTCAATTAAACTAATTAACCGGTAAAGAATAGGTTTACCGGTCAAAGCCTACATGGACTGACCACATGGCTATATTTTAATGTTTTTCCTTTCTTCTTCTTTTCTGTATGTTCGTTCGCATGAGGGAGAGGAAAATGGCAAGGTTGCAGCATGCAGGTCATGGCTGCCATGGCCGGAGGCACAGCCAGATCTACAAGGTGATGTCTTGCATGATTGACGCAAAATCGAAGTTGTCTGCGGTGTAAAGTAGCGGCCTACAAGACGTCAGCGGTGTTCTAGACGCCGGTGGTGTGTGGATGGGAGGCCGCCGGTTGAGTGCAGAGAACGCCGGAAGTTGCTGGCCACCTGCATAGTTCTCTTAACTTTTCTCCCAAATTGATTTGGCCGAGTTTGGGTGGATGAATTCGAGGCCTGCTTGGATTCCACCTGCTTTAATTTGGTGCTAGCTGCTATCTAACTTATTTCGTACCGGTTAAACAGCTCAATTGAGCTTTTTGTGTAAGTGGGAGGATTCAATTGGTTGATTTTAAAGTACAAAGATCTAATTGACTTTTTTGATATAGTAGGAGGACCTATTTGACAGTTTTCCCAAATTAAAAAGTAAATTAATCACAACCATCTAAATGAAAAGATCTGACGGTTCCAAAAGAGAGGCAGCGTACCTTACAAATGAGTAAGGCAGACACCCCCGATCCATGATTTAGCCGTGAAGTAAATTATGCATTGGGTACAATTGTTTAATGCACAAAAAGACATCAACACTTTTTCTATGACCATTACACCCCTAACATTATTCATGCTTATAGAATTGTAGAGATTAAAGTTGTCATATATTTGAATGAGTAATTTGTGATCATCCATTACCTTTTATCTATAGGATCAGATAGTCGGGAATCACAAGTGATAATGACAAATGATGACATCCTAGGGATACTCGGATAGTATCCCTAGTGACCAACAACTCAACAAGAATCACTTCAACAGTTCGGTTGTCGAGCATTGGGTTAACACCACATGAGGTTGAAGCCGCTATAGGCATCTCAATTTAGATATGGTTGCATGTAAAAAAATTGGATCACATTTTTTCTAGAAGCACATAGACTTGTTCACTTTAATATATGGGTAAGACTGCGTACATTTGACCACCTTATCCTATCGTAGGTGAGAGTTTTTGCGATCTTGGGATAATGATGAATTGATGATGATGATTTGTGTACTTTGAGTTATACACGTATGTACTTGACGTAGACGTGTTATACATTCTAAAGTGGAATAAGGCACAAAAATTCTGTCTTCATGATACCAAAAGCTTGTGCACCAACATCAATCTTACACAGGACACCAACTCCACGTGTTTGTTGGGTTGCTTGGTAGTTTGTCACCCATGGCATGTGGGCTTTCAGCGGGTCAAATGCATAAATCGTACCTTAACTATTGATAATGTTGCATTTTGGTACTTTAACTCTTAAATGAATCAAAACGGTACCTTAAATATACATAAATGTTTCAAATTGAGATTTTGTTCAAATTTCCGACTAAAAATCATGCGTTGCGGCCAGAATTCTATGCGTAAAGTCTACTTCACTTTATTTTTGTCCATACGATCACTATAGGGTGACTCTACACATGGAATTTTGATTGTCATGAAAGATTTTTTGCTCTGAAATTTGAATAAAACCTCAAATTGAAACATTTATTTAAAGTTAAGGTACCGTTATCATTCATTTAAGAGTTAAGGTACCAAAATACAATATTACCAATACTTAAGGTACCATTTATGCATTTGACCCGCTTTCAGCCGTTCCCTTGCCTTTCTTGAGATCTTGGGTTGTCTTTTACTTGGATTATTGCAACATAACAGGGTGGTGTGACTGTTTGAATACCTGTTTCTGAGTTGCTATTAAGAATATTTCGGTGGGACTATGGGAGTAAGGATGCTCAAGAATTGGCATTATATTTATTGAGAGTAGGCCTTTGGGTCTCATCCAAGCAGTGGCGGATTTATGTCTCAATATTTGGGTGTTCATTTTTTTTGTATAATTAAAATTTGGAAGAACAATATAGAATTAAATTAAATTTATGCATGCATACTAATATGTTTTTCAAATTTTTAGTTGTTCAAGTGAACACCCTTGAACTATAGTGGCTCCGCCACTGCATCAAGGAGTGTGCGAAAAAGAATTCTCCTTATTAGATAGGAAGAACTACAATTTGCCCTCTTTCATATTAAAGAATGCTTATATCAATTCTTTCATTGTGTATGAATCTTAACCCCCCCATGATATCAATATGTTGTTTCTCCATATCCTTAGTGTTATCTTTTTCACAGGAGAGGAGTTATTAAATTTCCTGGTCACATCCAGTCTCTCTTGATAGGTAAGAATTCGCCCCTTCATCACAAAATATAGAAATATAATGGTTGCCTTACTTCATTTGGTACTTTTGTTACTACTGGAGCAAGCTTTAGCGTGAAAGTATATTATTAGCTACTATTACGGCTTCAGTTTTCCAAAAAAAATTGATTGGTAATGTGGGTGCAGTTGCTGGTGCTAATATAATGGATTCTCAAGTTGATGTTGAAGGTGTCATAGTGCTTCTACAATCTGCATCATACTTGGTCAAAACTTTAGTTAAAATAGCTATGGAGTATTTAGTACGTAGTATATTTGAATTTTGTTTTGTTCTTCATTTTCTATTAGATGCGGAAATTGACTACTCCGTATCTGCAAGATGTAAGTAGAATGATAGCGTGTTGAATCATTTCGTGTATGTTTTCTCGTGTTTTTAACCAATTTTTCGGTGCTGTGATACAAATGTGTCATGCTTTTTTAGGATACCAAATGGTCATATATATACCTTAAAATTACATTGAGTTTTTTATATAAATATTACCATTAATGCTTGGATTTACAAAACAATGACTATATGTCCATAACTACCAATCACGTAGAACAACCTTAGAGTAATGGTAGGAAAACCACCTTGTTATTGTAAACAATAGTCATATTTTTGTTAGAAAGATTTAAAGTAGTAATATTTGTGTAATTTTTTCAATTACATTTGGCACGAGAATTAAAATATTTGACACAAGAATTAAGATAGTGAGTATTCTATGATGAAAAATTGTGCAGATGAGAGAAAAATGAGTAAGAATATTTAAGAATGGTTGTGAATCACAAATTCTTTATAAAGTTGTCTTACTATAAGCGCTCTTCTACTAGTGATAAAATTGTCGCTCTCCCAAAGTGGAGGCCACATGTTTGATTTCCACCCTAATAAGGATGTTGACATTTATCGTTTTATCGTTGAGCAAATATTATAATAGGTCAGAAGTAGGGCTAGGAATAGGCCAGGTGGCCTGTCAGTGCCCTATGACCTGGCCTGTTTAGGCCTAGTCTGACATGTTTAATAAATGAACTAGGCTTGGGCTTTAAAAAGCATGTTGGTCTAAAAAAAACATGTTGGTCTAAATAGGTCAGACTTAGACTAACTTCGAGGCGTTCTTTGATTTTCATGCCATCCTACATGGAGCGGTTCAGATGAGAAAAAGACTCTCATGAGAGAAATGAAAATGAATCTGAACTGTTGGATTGTATTATGTGAAACTAAAATATGCATCTGGTAAAACTGAAATGTGCATTATGTGAAATAGAAATGTGCAGAATAAAATGTAATATTCAAATGTGCATTACGTGAAATTGTGTGCCGAATAAAAACATAAAAATGGCACTATATTGTAGTTTTCATTCTGCATATTTTAGTTTCACCTAATTCACATTTCAATTTTGCCTAATGCACAATTTAGCTTTACATAATGTCACTGGGTCTACCTTTTGTGTTTCACATTTCGATTTCACCTAATACACATTTAATTTTCGCAGAATACAATTTAACCGTTTGGATTCATTCTCATTTCCTCATAAGATCATTTTCTCATTTGAACCTAATTCATAACACACACACATTAATATACTACCTCTGTCCCAGGAGACTTTGCCAAGTGCAAAGTAGGTGAATAATAAAAATAGTAAAAACTGTGTGGTTGAGATTTGTGCAGAGAAGAGAGAAATGTGCAGAACCACAAATTAGTTGTTTTAATAAGAAATTGGCAAAGTTTTTTGGGACAACCGAAAAAGGAAAGTTAGCAAAGTCCAATGGGACGGAGGGAATATATAGTTATATTCGTATTATTTCTATTTCTATTTATACAAGTATATTTTTATTTTAAAAATTAGGCATACGAGATATTTTTATGAAATGTGTATCATAAATTAGAATATATTTATTTTAAAAATATGCAATACATAATTAGATTAGTAAGGTCATTGAAATTCAAAATCTTTCAAGGTTTGAATTACATAAAAATTTATAATCCACATAACTAACATAGTAAGAAACATACTACAAAAGGCCTGTCCTATTTAGGGAAAAAAAATTGGCCTGACCTATTTCTACACCTAGTAAGAATGCAAGTCCAACAAAATATTATGAGCTCATTCATTAAAGCTGAAAGTTTGTTGCAATTACTTTTGAAATGACTGAATTAGATAAATATGTTGAATTACGAACAAATAACATTTAAGATATCTTGAGACTTATCCAAAAATATTACTAATAGAAAATTTATGAAAAACATTGTGACTTAAGTTACTATGATATACTTTTATAGTCACTATGATTTAAAATTTGAAAATAAATATAGTCATTTGAAATTGTTAAGTCACATTTTTATTCATTACCTTCATTAGCCATATATGGAATCACGTAAAATAAATTTCATAATTTCAATAAGGGAAAATATTCAATGAAAAAATCGAATAGGCATCTTCAATAAAATTAACCATTTCAGCCACAAAATTCCTAAAGTCTTACTTATTTTTTTTATAATTATAGAATTCTAACATAAAAATTAAAGTTAAACATTTAAGACAAATTGATCGTTAAAGGGTATCAAGCAACTTCTGTCAAAATGTTTGGCAGGAGAGTTCTGTGTGTGTATATATATATATATATCTTGGCCCCATTTGATAACAAAGTAAATTTGACTAAATCGAACAAATCTGTTAAAATCAATGAAATGTTGGTGAAATTACTAAATCTGCTCAATTATGAGAAAAAATTTAAAATACTTTTATTTATAGATTAAAGAAAATAATATATGAAAAAAAAAGTTTAAATGATCTTTTATAGTAACTTTAGACAATTCGACCAGAAAAGTAATTTCAACCTTACTTATTTTGATTAAAGAAAATTCTCTAAATAAGACTAAAATAAGGATTAAGTTTTTTCAAATATTTTTGGGAAGTTTTAATCAATTTATTCCTTTAATAAGACTAAATAAGTTTTATTTGGGGAATTAAATATACTTAGTCCTATTTTTAAACTTTTTGTATGTTTTAATCCTATATTGAACAATTTATATTTTAATTATTACATAATTTAGCGCACAAAATTATAGACTACGTGTTCGATAAAAAACTAAATGAAAAGTTGAAAATATTGGTTAGTAAATGGGCTCTTGATAATTTATGGATAGAAAAATTAAAAAGTTTGCTATTTTTTTGAAAATCAAATAACTAATTTATTATTAAGCGATAGCAAAAATACAAGAGAATGAATAGCCTGAGGCTACAATGGGATGAGACATAGAACGAAACATATTCAATGAATCCTTCCAGATCGCTAATCCCGCAATAATGTAGTCTAGTTTAACAGCCTTGCTGATCTTCTTGCTACTCCAAAGAGAAATTAAAAAATTACAACTAAAAGATCCGGCTTCACCAGCCACCGGAAAGGGAGAATTGGTTTGACCAGCAACCAACAAAGAGAAATCTGTCGAGTAGAAATTTCTTGAAGCATCGGTTTGACCAGCCACCGAAAAGGAGATCCGCTTGATCATCATCTTCTTCCCAGAGTGAGGCGGTGGTTCAGGTGGTGGACGAGTATTTGAAACATCAGAACAACAAGGTTGAAAAAGCTTCACCAGATCGATTACACCGATTAGAAACGCACAACTTCTAGACATTGCTAGGAGAATAACATACCACACGCTCACATGAAGCGAACAAAATACTCGGCTAATGAAGAAGCCATACCAAATTCCTTGAAAATAGAAATTGAAAAAGAGCGAAAGCATAAAAAAACTTTGATTCGATCTTTCATTGCATAGAGAATGTCTTCATCTTCCAAAATCGGATTTTGAAGGGGGTTGGGGATGGCCGCCCAGGGTTTCCCCTAGGGCCGGTTTTCTATCACGCACAGTATATATATTACTCCCTCCGTTCCTATATAAAAGGCACATTTGCGTTTCTAGACATTTTAAGGGTGAACACTGTTTGAACATTGTTTGACACTGTTTAGACACTGTTTGGCATTGTTTGGACACTGTTTGGCACTATTTGACACTGTTTTGCACTGTTTTGTTTGCCAAAAAGGGAAATGTGCGTTTTATATTGGGACGGACCGAAAAAGAAAGTGTTGCCTTTTATATAGGGACGAAGGGAGTACAAAGTTTGCTATTCTATTCGTATTTTAAAATTTGCTGCACACTTTACTTTTTGAGATGTATTTAAAAGTTTGTTACATTTTCTTTTAATTAGTTTTCTATAAAAAAACGCAATTATTCTTAATATTTATATTTTTATTTTTCTTTTATAGTTTTACACCTTTTTACTACTCCGAACACTATTAAAGAACAGATTTTGTAATAGATTTAGAAGAATTAAAAAATAAACACTATTCATTATTATGCCTATTATTTTTCTTTTTAAAATACCTTATGTGCTACGTAAGTGCCGACGTAGTCAGTGAGGTACTCACATGTCCTAGAAGTCAAACTTAAATCATTTCAGGATGTTCTAGAAAAGAAGAAATGCCCAAATCCCGGCCAATAAATCCCGGCCAATACACACAGCTGACTCTATTTAATAGGCTGCGGTTATCAACCAGACACCATTCTCTCATCCAGTACCGTTTTCTTTCCTTCTCTATTTCGCTTTTGTTTTTCAGGGTTTGAAATGGCTCAAGAAGGAGAAGTGATATTGCTGGACTTCTGGCCGAGCATGTTTGGGATGAGGGTAAGGATTGCTCTGGCCGAGAAGGAGGTCAAGTATGAGTACAGAGAAGAGGATCTCAGGAACAAGAGCGAGCTTCTTCTGAAGATGAACCCGATTCACAAGAAAATACCGGTTCTCATCCACAACGGAAAGCCGGTCTGCGAATCAAACATCGCAGTGGAGTACATTGATGAGGTTTGGAAGGACAAAGCCCCTTTGCTGCCCTCTGATCCTTATCAGAAATCCCAGGCTAAGTTCTGGGCCGACTACGTTGACAAGAAGGTAGTAAATCCCACCGAACTATCTTCATCACAATAGTGAAAATCTTTGTACTTTTTTGAATTTTTTTATATCTAAATTTACTATAATTTACGGGTCTGGCATATTGTTACTAAATTTCTGTATAATCTGGTAGATAATTAGGAAAGTGTGAATTACCCAAAATTGCTGATTTTTCTTCGAAAAAACTGGAAATAGTGATGCCATGTATCTGAAACTTTCGGCAATATCTATATTTTTCTTAATAAAACTTACAAAAGTTAGCTTTCCTGTTAAGCTATCACCATAAATTAATGGGAGGAAGAGTGAAGACTTGTTCATTTGAGTCAAATTTAGGATGTTTTCTTTTGGACTGAAATTTAGTGAATCTGGTCTTGTCTAGTAAATGTCAGGTTTCCATATATTTTATAACTATGGAAGTCTGTCTAGTATGATCTAGCCCAATCATGTCTGGTTTGTCTAGTCTGATCTAGCTCAATCATGTCTGGTCTGGGACTGATAGCAGTGCAAAATTAAATATGCTTACTGGTCGCGTAGATGGTATATGTCTTGTGTGCTCTGGTTTGTAATGGTTTACTTGAGTCTAGTACCAATTGGTCTAGCATTGGTTTGGTTTTATGGGTACTTTCTTACATAATACTGGAGTATGGTTTAAGCTATTCAGTTTAAGTCTATCTTAATCTTATTACATTATATTGGAGTATTGTCTAGTATGCCAAGTAACTGAAATAAGTGGCAGTGAAGCATATATGAAAATTTTCTTATGTTCCTTTACTTTTAATGAAACTTTGCCACATTCTTTATACTTGCATTGCAGTATCCATGTTATGATTGTCATTGGCTAAGAATTAATTGCTTGATTTACATTGATTCTATTTTAAATAAATATCAATCATACGATTAATGGGATCATTATTGTGCTACAACTGCAGGTTTATGAAACTTGTAGGAAAACATGGACTTTAAAAGGAGAAGAACAGGAAGCAGGCAAGAAGGAGTTTATAGAAGTTCTAAAGGTGCTGGAAGGAGAACTGGGAGAGAAGCCATACTTTGGGGGTGAGAAGTTTGGGTTTGTGGATGTTTCCCTCATTGGATTCTACAGCTGGTTTCATGTGTTTGAGAGCTACGGCAACTTCAGCATTGAAGCTGAGTGCCCTAAGCTGATTGGATGGGCTAAGAGGTGCATGGAGAGGGAGAGTGTCTCCAAGACGCTTCCTGACCCTCACAAGGTGTATGAGTTTGCCAAGATGCTAAAGGAGAAGATGGGCATTGCTTAAACACTACTTATCAACTAATATTTCATCAATAAATAAATATGCTCAATTTCCTTGGGCTCAAATCCAATCCTAGCTAGTTTTGAAGTGTTGTGAATGCATCTGGTTGATGTTTATGTCAATTTGCAGAAGTTGATGTTGTTGGAGTCTTATGTGTAGCAAGGACACTTGATTGTGTCTCCTACATACTTCTTGGATTAAAGTATGGAAATAATGTTAGTTCTTAATGGCTACTTAACTTTGTTTTGAAATGATTTCCTCTCTTCAAAGTTCAAATTGTATGTAGTACAATTCTAGAACTTGAATGTAGTTTTTTTTCCTCCAATTTGGCACTTAAAAATATATATCTAGAAGTTATAACTGGTGAAAATCGCCTCCTATCAGTCACTGGAGAAGGCCATACATTTTGATCATTTAACAATAATAAAGAACTTAAAACTTGTCAAGGAGTGAGGACACTGAGGACTATTATTACCCTTGAGAATTGGACAACAATGGCAAATTGGCAACAAGTCGAGTGGAGTGCTCTGCCAAACCAGGGAGGAGTCGTTAAGCGAGTGACTAATTGACTATATCGTACATCTGGATGTACGTATACATCCGGTTTTTTTTGTAATTAGTAAGAAGTTTGAGGTAATTAATTAGCGCAGCTTCTCTTTTCCGATCCGCCGCTGCTCCACTAACGCTCCTCTTTAGTTCGTATGTTCTTTCTTTTCTTTTCTTTTTTGTTTGTTTGTTCTCTTTTTCCGCCGATGGTGCTCTCAGTGCATGTTCAATTGTTCATCCTTACTTCCTATGTTCTCTTTTCTTTTCTTTTGTTTATTCTTTTATTCTTTATTTGTTGTTTATTCTTCTTTTTTAGCAATCTTTCAATTATTATAAAAATGTATAATATAAAATATTGTTAAATGATTCAGTTTATTTTTTAGATTCATGTAGGAGTTAATTATAGATATAGAAGACCATGATACTCCCTCCGTTCTTTAATATGAGTCCTCTTAGGTTTTGGCACGGGTTTTAAGAGGAAAATAGTAGGGGTAGTGTAAAAGGTGTAATGAGTAGTGGGTAAATGAAAAAGTAGGAAAGAGAAAGGAGTAATGGTAATAAAAGTGGGGTATAAAGGTATATTTAAAGTAAAAACTTTCCTTAAATGGAAAGGAGAACAAATAAAAAAAAACGTCCCAAAAAGGAAAGAAGGACTTTTATTAAAGAACAGAGGGAGTACTCAATTACATGTTTTCAATATTCAATAGATGATGTTTGATGTTCAATAAAAATGTTTTGATGTTCAACTAAAAAAACTTGTGATTTTCATATCAATACTCATTTTGTAAGTTACGTTTGTTCAATTTGCACTCACATTATGCTCATTTTTAAAATGTCATACTCATGCAAATTTTAAAAGTTGCATATGGCATTAGATTCTCATTGTTAGGTTTCTAATAAGCCTCATGTTCATTGAAAGTGTTTTAATATTCATAATATGCTTATCTGGTACAGATCTTGTGTTCATTTTCTCAATGTCATATCAGTGCATTTTCATTAAAGTAGTATTTCACATTAGATTCAAATATTGAAGTTCATAGTTGTTGGTTATAAATATAATTTAATAATTTTTTATATAAGAAAAAATAATAAAAAGAAAGTGAATTAGAAGTTATGAAGCAAAGATTTGAATATTAGACCTCTAATACTCAACATAATAGGTTTGATGGTCATTAAAAGTTCATTAATGCTCATTGATATGACATTTTAAAAATGAGCATATCATCAGTACCAAATGAGCATATCATCACTTACCAAATGCACATTGACATGAAAATTGCCAGGTTTGTTAGTTGAGTATCACGACACTTTCATTGAGCATCAAACCTCATCTCTTGAGACGAAAATCATAGTTTCTGTTAAATGAATATTTATTAAATTTTAATGAGCATCGAACCTTTTAATGAAAATCATGATTTCTGTAAAACGAGTCTTAATGATTTTTAATGAGCATCAAACCTATACAAATGAGCATATGTAACTTACAAGATGAGCATTGATATGAAATTGTAAGTTTTGTTCGTTGAGCATTAAAACATTTTCGTATCATTGAGGATCAAAACATTTTCGTATCATTGAGCATCAAACCTCTGTTATTGAGTATTAGAATTTGCGATTGAGTATCATGATTTGTGGTCTCGTGTCTATAATCAAATCTTGTATAAATCTAATGTAATATGATACTTTTGGAATATGCATTGATAAAACATTTTAAAAATGAGCATAACAGAGATGCTAAATGAACATACATAACTTACAAATTGAGTATCCAAAAATTAAAAAATGAGCACTGTGATCCCTACTTCATATTTTATAATTCATTTTCTTTCTCTTATTTTTTCTTTTATAAAAACATATTGAATTATATTTGTACTCAACTCTTATGAATTTCAATATGTGAATCACGACTTCTCTCAAATGAAAAACGCGACTTCTCTTAAATGAGCATTATTGCAATTTTAATGAGCATCCAGCCTATTCTTTTGAGCATTAGAAGCTTAACAATGAACATCATGATCTCTGTTTCATATCTTCTAATTCACTTTCTTTTTATTATTTTTACGTTTATAAAAATTTCTTAAATTATGTCTATAATCAATTCCAATTAATATAAGTATGTGAATCCAATATAGTATGATAGTTTTGAAATATGAGTTGATATGACATTTTTAAATGAACATAATATTAGTACCAAATGAGCATATTTAACTTATAAAATGAGCATGGATATGAAAATCGTAAGTTTTGTTAGTTGAATATGGAGACATTTTCTTTGAACATTGGAACTTCTCTATAAAGTATTAAAAGAATTCAATTGAGTATCGTGATCTTTGCTCATAGTACCAAATGAGCATACATAACTTACTTAATAAGTATCGAAAAATTCAAAAACACATTTGAAATATTTAATGTGCTCAAATATTCAATTGTGTATGCTCAATTGCTCATTTAATTTTTTATAAAATTATTTCAAGTGAGTTGGCACAGTTGCAGAATGTCTGGACCGATAACAACAACGACAAACCTCAGGCGACTCAAATTAAACAAGTCAATAGCTAAAAACAATATGCTTATTCCATGTACTTAGTTGGAGAAGGATGGAACCAAAATATTTTGAGGATGTGGAGAGTGTATATTATACATCCGGCTGTACGGTGAGCACCGTACAGCCGGCCCAACAGGGAAAGTAACATGCCTAAGAGAAAATAGAAAAATAATTTGGTGGTATTTTTGTAATTAATATGAAAATTGTGGTTTGTGCTAAATGAGCATCTGTGTACGGTTAATCAGCAATAGTCCAATTTTAATGAGCACCGTGTTAGTACAAGAAAGTTCATATCACACCTAAAAAACGGTGGCATTTTCGTAATATCAGTGACAATCACGGTTTTCGTTAGATGAACATTAATACACTTTTAATGAGCATCAGACATATTCTAATGAACATTAAGAGTCATTTATGAGTATTGTGATATCAATTTCATATATTATAATTTACTTTCTTTTTCTTATTTTTTCTTTGAAAAAAACTCATTAAACTATATCTATAATCAATTCCTATTATCTTCAATATGCGAATCTAATGTAATATAGTACTTTTGAAATATGCATTGTTATGACATTTTAAAAATGAGCATAACATGAGTACCATTTGAGCATATGTAACTTGCAAAATGAGCATAAATATGAAAATCATAAGATTTGTTAGTTGGACGTCACGACATTTTAATTGAGCATCAAACCTCCTATGTTGAGATGAAAACAACGCTTTCTGTTAAATGAGCATTAATGAACGTAACTTTTAATTAGCACTAGACCTATTATATTGAGTATTAGGAGTCTAATATTGAAAATTGTAATCTCTGCTTCATATCTTTTAATCCAGTCTCTTTTTATATTTTTGTTTTATAAAAAACTTATTAAATTATATCTATAATCAACTCTTATGAATTTCACTATGCAAATCTAATGTAATATGATACTTTTGAAATATGCATTGATATGGCATTTATAAAATGAGCATAACATCAATACCAAATGAGTATATGTAACTTACAAAAAGAGCATTACACCAATATCAAATGAGCACACATACTTACAAAATGAACATCGAAAAAATTTAAAAAACTCATTTAAAATTTCTAGTATGCTCTAATAATAAATGAGAATACATAACTTATGAAATGACCATTGAAAATTTTAAAATGAGCATTACACCAATATGCACAAATATGGCATTTTAAATTGTTTAGTGTAATGCTTATTTTAAAATGAGCATTACACAAATACCAAATGAGCATAGATAACTTTCAAAATGAGTATCAAAAAATTTAAAAAAATCTTTTGAAATTTCGAATGTGCTTATATATGAATTTGTGTATGCTCATATCGGTAGAACATAAAGAACACATTCCTTATTTTAGAACAATCAATTTTATTGTGCTTATTTTTTAGGAAAAATTGATAGTAATAATCCCAACTATTGGCGGTCCGCTCATAATAATCCCAACTATTGATTATTACAAAATAATCCCAACTTTAGGGACCTTCCGCCAATAATGGTCCCTATGAATAAATTCTTGTAGTTTCTAAAGTGGATGGGGTGAGATATAACAAGTAATCCTTCTAAATAATCTCAACTTTTAATTTTTACGCTTAATTTCTATTTAAAATTCACTTTTTATAGAGGTAGTATATGGTCATGGACCATTATTGGTGGATAGTCTATATAGTTGGGATTATACAAAAATAATCAATAGTTGGGATTATTTTCAGCGGACCGGCAATAGTTGGGATTATTATTTTCAATTTTTCCAATTTTTTAAAATTATATCAATGCACATTTAATTTAAGTAATATACTCATAATTATTTAGAAGGTTGGAGCTTTCAATAAAAAGGTGAGATAATTACATACTTTTATTGAATTGTCATTCCATATGAATTTTTGAAAGAATTGCATGCAAGAAAAAATTCTTGAAGAAAATTTACTAAAAAATAAATAAGAGGTGGGAAAAACTAAAGAAGCAAAAGACAAAAGGTATATATAAAAAGAAAAATGGAAAATATCAGAAGTTAAAGAAAAATGAAAAAAAATGGAAGCAGAAAAAACAAAAAGAAATGTTAAAATTAGAAAAATTAAAGTTCATAAGTAAAATAAAAGAAGAAGAAAAATCGGAAGATGAAAAAAGAAAAGAAAGAACGGCAGATGTTACAATGATTGGGTGGAGAGGGAAAGTGTAAATTGTAAACGGCAAATAAATGGAAAACAAAAACGGAAGAAGAAATCTCGAGCAAAGGAAGAGAACACGGAAGAAAAATAAAAGAATCAAACACCCAACTCCATAACATACAACCTCCGCTTTGCACATATTTACAAAAATACCTGGCTGTA